TAAAATTAAGTACCATATTTCTTTACTATATTTTCTATTTAAAATACCCAACAAAAAGTTCTCTGGTTTCCAGTCTACAGGTTGGTCTATTATTTCTTGGATCCATTTTCTTATTGTAGACCAATATTTTTTTGCAACTGGGCATGTCCACCATAGATGATAATATGTTCCATGTACTTTTTTACATTTCCAACATGTTGGCGAATTATTCTGGAACATCTTGGCAAGCTTTGCAGGTGGAAGATGCCATCTGTAAAACATTTTCAACTGGTTTTCCTTGAATGCCGCCGACATAGTCAATTTTATATTTATTTCCCATATTTTTTCCCATTTCTCCAATTCTATATTATATCCGAGATTGTTTGTTTTGTTTTCAAATTTCCCTGTTCATTTACTAATTCCTTATATCTAATTATCTTATTTATATCCAATAGGTTTGGGTATTTCAGAGCTTCTGTTGGGGATAACCACATTGGAATTCTTGTATAATATTTTTGTTTTATTTTTTCCCAGTGACTACTTTAAAGCCCTGATGATGTTGGGTGATCCCAACGAAAGCTCGGCTCATTAAAATTTTTTACTACCTTCCTCTTGGTGATCAGTATTTATTGGTTTTATTATGGATTTACCCAAGAGTCGAACTCTGAAGATGCTGGCAGTTTTTTGGCGCCGGCCGAGCGCGCATGCGCATGGCGCAAAAAGTGCTTAGAGATGTTGCCATTTTGTCCTGGGAATTGGGACGTATAAAAGGAGGCCTGCGTGCCTTTGTTCGTTGTTGGAGTTTTGACTAAAGCACAATAAAGAGCTGTTCCAGAGACATGTGTCTTCTTCATTCACCATCGCTCCCAGGACTTAACACCCACTCTTGCAGTTTCAGATTACAAAAGATTTATTCAAAGAGGAGACATTAATTGTTGGACAATTTTTTGGGGGGAAAATTGTTGAGTTTAAATTGTTTAGTTAGACCTATATATCCATCAGCCAAAAAAAATGACTCTGAATTGTTTTGCTTAAGATTTGTAAATGTTTAACCTACTTAATGGAAATTTGTTTCCATCTGAATGGTATTTGATTAACTTGGAATTTATTGACCAAAGGAAAACAACCTGGAAGATCTCATTATAGTTCCAGTTGAAGCATTTACTACAGTTGAGCAAATTAAGTACTTGAATACTCAATTTGTGGACAGAATTCCATATAAAAATGGTCACTTAACACTTTTCATATTTCTTACTAGTAAGCCACTATCAGGAGTATTATCTGTGTTAGAAGTACAAAAAGTATATTGTATTGAATGGCTTTACTTATCCCATCCCAAAATGTTTTATCTTTTATCCAGGCTGTTGCTGAAATATTAATCTTAGGAGACAATCGAGCTTGTCCTTGAAATGGGACTGATTTAATTAATATTGTTCTTCCTATCCCAAAATTTGATTTTCAATTTTATTTTCAGAATAACTTATCTCTTTAGTGTCTTTAACTGACTATTTAGACTGTATTTCATATCATCTGCCTACACTGCAGTGCAATCCTCACCACAATGCTCAGAATTATCTGCTGCTATTTTAGCTTTCCACACCTTTTCTCAACAGACTTTTAACTTAATCTCTGACTCTCATCATGTATGCCAACTTATTTTTAATTTTACAGGTGCTTACATCATGCCCAGGATCGACCCCAATCTTATGGCTTTGTTCTTAACTTTACAGCAGCTATCCTTTGTTTCTCACATATGTATTGGTCCTTTAAGGACTGCCTTCACAAAACAAATAAAAAAGGAGGGATCAAGGGTACCTAATTTGGCATGGATAACTCGTCAAGTCAATAAAGTCCTAATAACTTTAAATCAGCTAAATATTTCTTTTCAAAAAACTACTGCCTACCAGTGTCACTTTCAGCAGAAAGCTATGCTCCATAATCCATTGGTATGTTATCTGCAATTGCCTGATAAAATCTGGTTAGGTCCAATTCCCTTACTAACTTGGGGGCGAGGCTATGCTGCTGTGCTTGCTCCTACAGTCCCTCTCTGGATTCCAGCCCAATGTATGCGACCAGCCAAAGATGTCATGGCATCAAGTCTAGAACCCAATACTGGAAATGAAGCAGGTGACTCTTCAGCCAGCACAACATCCCTTTCGCTCTCGCCATCGCAGTTGACCAACAACCTGGGGCAATGTGAAAAACCTAACATTCAAACCACAGATGGTTCTGCAGCAACAGGGAAAAGAATCTACACCAGAGAATTTATGCACTGCCATATTTGTGGTTTTAACTGCAAATTCCTTAGTCATTCTTTGCCTCTCTTTCCTTCTTAATTGCTGTGTGGGGGCTCAAGCTCTCCCACGTCATCCTTTAGAATCACGGATGAAATATAATATTTGGGTGCAATTAGCTAATGTAACACAAGTGACAGACTTTTGCATTTCTGAATCATATGATATGGAAAATCTACATCAAGCTGGGGTCATGCCTCTTACATGTTACCCCTTGATGCTATTGTTTTGCATACACCAATTGTAGCTGTGCCTACAAATCTTACTTGTGCAAAAATTGTCAATTGTACTACTTCACCTAAAAAACCTCATTGTATACATGACACTCAAAGAATTTTAAATTGTATCTCCTTTCAAGAGGTATCCTTTAATTATGCACATATATGGTTATTCAATGTCTTTTTTTCCTCTACTTTCAATTTTCCACACTGAACTACCATTAACGTACCTCAGGAACAAGTTATGTTTTGTATAAACAAATGCAAAGTTATATGTTCCCTGACTAAGACCCACTAACTACTCCAGCTTACGATAATGTCCTCACTAATAAAATAGAGAAGAGTGAGATGTGGGGAAAAATGCACGCGCAGCAAACTGCCATGCTTTCCCCCCCACAAACCTTTTGATACCCTAATGAAGCAGACTTACTGCCTCACCTACCTAAATAGGATTAAGCTACTTCATATCTCTTCCTGTAGATACAGTAATATGCTTAAGTTCCTTCCTATCTCTTCCTGCCTTTGATTAGTTCCTTTTCCTGTTTGCTCTTTACTTGGTCTTTGATCAGGTAATGTGTTACTAAAAAACTTTATGTCAGCATTTAATGGAAAAGCCTACATATGTAAAAAGGATATAAAAACCAATAAACACAGAGAAATTCTCAAGCTGTCTCAAGCTGTGACAAGCAGCTCTGCAGCAGCTTCAAACCTCTGCTCAAGAAATGCCTGCATCTTTTTCTTAGCATCTTACAATATATCTTGTAAATTTTTGTAAAGTTCCACCGAGAGCCCAACTGGGCCCAGTGTTTTTCCATTTTTTGTCGTTTTATGGCCTCTCATATCTCCATCATTGTTATTCTTTCTTCAAACATAGTTTTAAATGTCTCTGAAATTTTTGGCAATTTACTTTCTTCTAAGTATTGAACAGTTCTCTCTCTTACAGCCTCCTTTTTATCATACAATTCCTTATAGTATTCCTTAATTATCTTTTTTATTTCTTCCTTTTTGAATTGTAAACAACCTTTCCCATCTACTAAGTTATGTATTATTTTCTTCTCTTTCTGTTTTTTAAGCTTATAGGCTAGCCATCTTCCTGGCTTATTGGCATTTTCGAAGAAGTTTTGTTTTGCTCTCTTTGTCTGTTCCACCAATTTTTCTAAGTCCAACAAATTTAGCTTGTGTTTTATTATTTCCATTTCTCTTTTCAAGGTCTTTTTCTGTGGGTTTTTTTGTAATTCTATCTCTAGTCTTCTAAATTTTGCTTTTAATGATGAATATTGCTGTCTTCTTTGTTTATTTTTCTTTGCCATATACGTTATAGCTATGCCTCTAAAATACGCTTTGGCTGTGTCCCATAGATTTTGTAGTGATGTATGTTCTTCTCGGACACCTTTGGCCCAGTTTTCCCCTTCCAGGCGTTGGCTTCATTTTCACCCAAGGGGGGAGCCAAAGGCAGATTGCAATGTTTTAAAATAAGCCTATATGTGTGACCGTCTTCTTCTTCATCATCATCACCGTTCCTACTAGGTCAGCATGAAGACAAACCATCCTTGAGATTTTCAGGTCAGCAAAGAAAAATATTTTGGCTTTTTGGGCCACGAGTTCCAAGCTGAGACGCCTCCCTGTCGCCAATGAGGGGGGAGGCACTTCGGCTTGCAGTGAAGGTTGTATTGTACAAGGGTGTATTAAGCAGCTCATATGTTTTTGGGCAGGTAGGTGTTTGTGTGTGTTTGTGTGTGTGTGTGTGTGTTCGTTCATGCCCCAAGTAGGTAATTTCATCAGTGCCAGTAAGGAGTGGGGTTTCCTCTCACTTTAATATTGTTGTACAGGGGTCATTAAACTTGGCAACTTTAAGACTTGTGGACTTTAAGCTTTGCTGGTGAGGAATTCTGGGAGTTGGAGTCCATGAGTCATACAAGGCCAAGTTTGAAGACCCTGTTATAGTGTCTTGCCCTGTGGCTGTTGGTTGGGGCTGATTTTAGCAGTTCTTTGGAAATGTCTGCGAGAAAATAACCAATAAACTCAGAGAGCAACAAATAACCAAAAGTGGCAGTGAGCATTGTGTTGTGCATTGCTGGGAGAGGGGAAGGCTTCCTTTATTTATTCAGGTCTTTACTTTTAGTGTCACAGAAAACAAGAGTTTCTCGGTAGTGTTTATACTGTGTGGCAATCCTATGGAGCCACAGGTGCCTTGGCTGTAATTCAGGCAAGGGCCCAGATGTCCGAGATGGGCCCCTCCTGGGAGTCTGGGGGAAGTGACCACGCAACCCCCAGGAGGAGCATGCAGTGCCTGTGGTGACCCTGTTCTGCCTCCCCTAAAGCCACCAAGTCATCTTCGGGATGCAACAGAAGTTCCTTTGCAAGCAGACAAACAATGCAGAATGTATTGGGCCCTCTCCCCACTTTCTCCCCCAACCAAAGAGACCCCAGGCGGTGGCCTTCCCCTCCCCTTCTAAAGCACACAAGTGACATGGCCCCCAATTCCCCTCCCCTTAGCTCCAAGCCGTCCTGTCCTCAGAAGCACTTTGCTGGGCTGGGGTGGTGTCTGGCTGCCGTTCACAGCACTTCTGCAGTCCCTGTTTTCCTCCTCCATGCATTGGTTTCATTTTGAGAAGGGGGAACGCCAATGCCCCCCTCCTCCTACTCTTGGGCCAAGCGCTGCCCAGCTGGCTGCAGGACTGACCTGGGACTCTTTTTCTCTATGGATGGGGGACTCCTGCACTGCTGCTTTGAAGAGAAGCCTTCGAACCGTGACCACTGAATGGCTTTCTCTCCAGCTTGGTCCCTTTGCCAAAGACACGCTTGCCTTGGCCAAGAACCTGGCAGCTGGGCAAGCAGGGGCAGGGGCAATCCCTCGACTTGATGAGGCAGCCACAATGGCCACCAGCAACAATTTCATTTCACTTAATTATTGAGGGCATCTCATCTGGGGGAACTTATCGGTCCTGGAGCTTCCCAAAGACTCCAGAGGTCCTGGGAGCAGTTGGATAGGCTGGCAGGACCCTGGCAGAGAGATTTGGAACAGGGCTGCACCAACCTCCCTGCCCTGGAAGAAGGAGAGAGGAGAAGCACACATACCCCCTCCGCCAGGAAAGATCAGGCTGCAGGAAGGAGATCCAATTACGCTAGGCCAGGAGCTGCTCAGCCGTGGGTGCTGAAACATCCCTGAGAGAGGCAAACCATTGGGGCGTCTTTTCAAGAGCCATTTTGGAAGGGGGGGGGAAGAGAGAGAAAAAGAGGTGCATAGGGCCCTTCTAGTTGGGGGGCACAGCAATTCAGCCCTGCATTTCCTTACCTGGCTGCCTTCCAATCCTCTGCCATGGTTCCCACCTCTGCACACAGCAGCCAGGCTGTCTTCAGCAGCTCCTCTCCATTCTCATCCAGGAAAAACTGGCCCACAAAGACTGCGCTGGAGGCTGAGGGAGGAATCAGCCAGAGACTCACTGGCAGGTAATGGTGTTATAGCATTTGGGAGGGGGGAGTATGTTCCATAGATCAAACTCCCAATGGTTTATTCCAGGCCAGTGCTGGCTGGAGGCTCAAGGAATCTTATGGACTCCAATGTTTTTGGCCAGCTCTGGGTAAGGGTGAGGGTGGGGAGGGGAACATTCAGTGAAAGAACCTGCAAGAAGCAGATCTAAGGAAGGGGAGAGCCACTAGATTCCTTCCTCCCCTTCTATTTGCTTCCACCCCAAATAGTGAGTACCAGAGAAGTTCCACTTGACAACGAAGCCAAAGGTGGACTGGTGACCCAGGTGCTGGATGCCCTGCAGCACGGATGGCCGGATGGTGTTGTCGGTGGCAGTCAGGGCTGTCAGGTAGAAGCCTCTGAACACCCCAGCATTATTGCCATGGGAGATGACTATCTTGGAACCCTTCTCATTCACCCATCTGCCTGTCAGGGAGCACTAAAGGAGAACAGGAGAGGGGAGGAAAGCGAGTCAGGGCACTAGCCAAGCCCAGCTGTCCAACAGGTAGAGACTCTGGCTCCATTTTCTCTGGGGGATCTGAAAACACCCGCTGCTCCCACGTATCCGATCCCCAAGGTTGCCCACGCCGAGTGGGGCTGGCAAAGGGGCCGCATCCCAAAGTCCGTCAGTCGAGGCGACCGCCAGACCGCGTCCGGGACGACCCCCGCCTGCAGATCGCTCTGCCATCTGCGCAGCGAGCGAGAGCACCAGCCCCGGCGGCAGGCTGCCGAAATCGCGGCCGAGCACAGAGGCGGAAACGCTGGGCGTTTGTCTGTCGGGGACCCAGGGCCTCTGGCGCTCAGCGCGACGGCACCAGGTGCGGTCAACCACGAGGAAGCGGCACTCTCTGCGCAGCTCGCCGGCTCCCACCAGCTGCTCCTGCCGCCCACCCGAGCAGAGGCTGGTGGGGGGGGGAGGTTTTCCAGGGGAGGCTGGGACCCTCTGCCCGCCACCCCGCATCTGACCTTGGCGGCTCGCTCTGAGTTTTGGGGTTGGGCAAAGGTTCCGGAGCAGCCGAGCAGGAAAGCGAGGAGCCCCAGAGCTGCCAGGGCAATCGCCATGGTGATCTCCAGGAATCTAGACGTGCCAGCCCCAGGCGGGATGCCCCTTATAAAGTCCCGCTCGCACCGGCTCCCCCCATCCTGAGTTGCTGCCTCCTCCCATCCCCCCGCAGCTGGGAGGGGCAGGATACCCACCCGAGGGGTCGGACGCTTCTGCGAAATCGCTGGCTTTCTGCCAGAGCTGAGCAGCACTTCGGCAGCAAGGGGGGGAAGAGCGGGGCTGGGGCAGACCACGAAGGCCATCCTGGGGGTCCCCAGGCTTTTCTTGGTTTTTTGCCGGAACATCTTTCTCCGTTTCTGGAGAAAACTGGCGAAGGATCGGGCTGCTTTACTCAGCGATTTCGCTCCACATTAAGCCAGCCCCCCCCCCCAACACTTCCTGCCCGCACATCGTTGCCCGAGTTACTCCTTGGTCTGCCTGGTGGGGTCCGAAGGGAAGCAAGTCTGCGCCAAGCCTACTGCAGTCCAGCTGGGGGGGAGGAGGGGGTCGGGGGGAGCCTTGCCATTTCTCCGCAAAGGTCCTAAGTGGGGGGGGGGTTTGCCTCGGCCGTTTCCTGGAGTTTCGCTCTCTCCGCTGGCCTCCCAGCCTCCGCTGGCCCCCCATCCCGCGCTCACTAGTTCGCTCGCTCGCTCTGCGGGAACGATGGCACCCAGATGAGGAGATGAGCACCATTCAGAGATCCCGAGCAGCGATTGATCTCCGGGAGAAGCTGATCCGCGGAACCGGCCGCCGCGGGGACCCTCTGGGCTCAAGGGCCACGCAGCCTCAGGAGGACCCTACCGTGCCCGTCGTGACCCAACCCTGGCTCTCCTGAAGCGACCGAATCGCACGGGAGGGGGCGAGGGGAGGGGACGCGGCAGAAGTTACTTTACGCGCGGACGAGCAACAAGGCAGCGCTTGATGTGAACCCCCCCAGAAGGGCTCGGAGGCTTTGCTGAGCGGCCATTTGGAAGGCTCGGACACCCTTGGCCCGGTTTTCCCCTTCCAGGAGTCGGTTTCATTTTCACCCAAGGGGGGAGCCAAAGGCGGATTGCAATGTTTTAAATAAGCCTATCTGCGTGACCTCCTCCTCCTCCTCCTCCTCCTCCTCCTCCTCCTCCTCCTCCTCCTCCTCCCTCTTCCTCTTCCTCTTCCTCTCCTTCTCCTTCTCCTTCTCCTTCTCCTTCTCCTTCTCCTTCTTCTTCTCCTTCTCCTCCTCCTTCTTCTTCTTCTTCCTACTAGGTCAGCATGAAGACAAACCATCCTTGAGATGTTTGAGTGAGGGAAGAAAAATATTTTGGCTTTTTGGGCCACGAGTTCCAAGTTGAGACGCCTCCCACTTGGGGGGGGGGAGGCGCTTCGGCTTGCGGTGAAGGTTGTACTGTACAAGGGCATTTTAAGCAGCTCATATGTTTTTTGCCAGGTGTGTGTGTGTGTGTGTTCTTGCCCCAAGTAGGTAATTTCATCAGTGCCAGTAAGGAGTGGGGTTTCCTCTCACTTTAATATTGTTGTACAGGGGTCCTTAAGCTTGGCAACTTTAAGACTTGTGGACTTTAAGCTTTGCTTAAAGTCATCTGCCAATCAGGGAGCACTAAAGGAGAGCGGGAAAGGGAAGGAAAGCGAGTCAGGGCGCTAGCCAAGCCCAGCTGTACATCAGGTAGAGACTCTGGCTCCATTTTCTCCGCGGGATCTGAAAACACCCGCTGCTCCCACATGCCCTCCCCCAAGGCTGCCCACGCCGGGTGGGGCTGGCAAAGGGGGCCCATCCCAAAGTCCGTCAGTCGAGGCACCTGCCAGACCGCATCCGGCATGACACCCACCTGCAGATCGCTCTGCCACCTGCGCAGCGAGCATGTCAAAGATTTAATCCTACAGCACTGCTTATAAATCCACCAGAGTAGTCTGGGAAATTGAGAAAAAGAAAAAAAAAGAGAAGAAGGGAAAAAAGTCACTCAGTTCACAAAAAAAGTTAAATAAAGCTAAGTCTGAGCTCCTGATGAAAACAATCTTGTATTAAAAAAAAGTCTTTTGTTCAAAAAAAGTAAAATAAGTGTAAACCCATAGATAGCTTAGCAGCCTTCTGATAAAAAAAAATAGTCTTTTGCTCACAAAAAATGTTAAATAAAACTGAACTCCCCTAGTTTAGCAGTCTCCTGATACAAATTAGTATTTTGCTTCCTCTTGTGTTTGGTGTTGAAATAACCCCCAGGAATAACGAAGCAAGGCAAATCATGTGATCGTTTCAACCAATCGTATCACGCCTTTGTCTGAAAGTCTCTTAACAGTTTGTAAAACAGAGATATAAACAAAAAACCATAAAAGGGAAAGGCAGAGGAAAACCATTCACAAAGAAGGAAATCATTTAATTCACAAGAAAGATTTGCAGCCAACAAAACAGGAGAGTCTCCTCTTTCTCCTCCACCTGCAGCCACAACGGGAGGAAAAGTTGCAGACACCTGTGTGCCACGCTGCCATTCATCAATCTTCCTCCTCCTCCTCCTCCTCCTCCTCCTCCTCCTCCTCTCTCCTTAGATAAAATAGCAGGGCATCCTTTGGCGTCTCACTGGAGCTTAATGGTTTACCGGATGTTGAAAGAAAAGTCTTCATCATGGTTCAGTCCAAGCTGGAATAAACAACATGGTGACTGCTTTTGAAAGAAGGTTGCAGTTTATTGAAGAGGAGAGCCAGACAGAAAGATGGCTCTGGAAGAAAAGAGAGCAAACACATGTAGGGAGTGGGTTTTACGCCTTCTTCAGCCTTTTGTTTGGAGTTGTTCCTGTGGCATGAACTTTGACCTGAGTCTGATTGTGCCTTTCTGGTATTCTGATGCTAGTGGGTTAATCCTATTATGTCCCAAAGGTCAATCCTGCTTCCCTGGGGCTGTGGCTGATGACTCTTAGAGTTTTGGCATGATGGATTGTTTATTCTAGGGATCTTTCTTCCTAATCCCAGTTTCCTGACTCCAGTCTTTCTGACAAGATTATCACATCTACCATTCTACAGACTTGGTTTCTGTTTGGGACAGAGAGACTTGGGGGAGGGGGTTGGTTTCTGCCTTTAAAATCCTTTAGGGAAATATATTCTGCCTTTTAAATATTTCCAAGAATATTTCTTTCTCAGGAGGGGCCCAACTCCCCACAAATATGGTGTTTTTGGTGTTTCTTTGACCACTGCAATATTGATGCCTTTTCAAACTGCCTGCAAGCTACCTCCCCTTCCAATTCTTTTCTTGCCCTTTGTTCTCCATACCTTTTGTCTGCGTCTCTTGGGAGAGTCCACCCAGAAAATGGGGGAGATCTTGTTCTTGTATCTTTCAGCCCTGCAATCCTCCCCCAAACCTTTGGAAGCAGAACACACAGACCCAGATGCTGCCTCCATCCATTTGAGCCATGGAATTGGGTTTTGAATCCAGCCATCCACTAAAAAACCACCATGCAATCTGAGTGGAACATCTTCCCAAGTCCTACCATTTCCCAGATGCCTGTGAGAGCTGCAGAAGGAAGGAGTCCTAGAGCCAATGGTGCCATGTGAAGCATCAGAAGAGAAAATTAGACTGTGGGGGGAGGGTGGAAACTCATTGTAAACTTTTCTTTCTTGCCCCATTTGTATTGTAACAAGCCAGTTGAATGTAATGGAGAGATGGCATTTGGGAATAGTTGGCAGAAGAAGTACTGAACACCTTGGACTTCTATCTGGTGGGAGGGAAAATTTATCCAGAATGTTTGTATTGCCTGTTTTGTAGAAATAGCTGCATATGCACACACACACCATTCAGAATCACATTGAGTCTATCCCCTCCATCTACCTTTAGTAAAGTTCCCCAGGCTGATTTTTTTTTTGCTCTATTGCACCAAAGCTTTGCAAGCACAACTTTCCAAAAATTCCAAGGGGGAGAGAAGTAGGCCCCCTCAGGTGATTTGCAATTCTTATGCCCTGACTAAGGAAGCAACAGGAAAGAGATCCCAAACCTCAGCCCTGAATATCTTGCACTGTTGGACTCAGATTGGGATTCCTAGAGCTCATTATGTGTAATTTAAAGAAAATTTTAATAGCCTGGCATATTGGCTAACCTCAAATGGACATTACAAATCTGGATGCACTGAACTAAGAGCTAAGGCGGGAAACAATCCTTGAAAATGGACAGCCAGTGGTCATGTGCTAAGGAAAACCATGGCTGTGAAGAATTTTGGGAGGTATGCAAACCTGACTGGAAGCTAAAAGTGGCATCCAACATTTGAAAATGATTGGCACAGAGTATTGGACACTATAAATTTCTTTTCCACTTAACAAAATTTTTGCCCTGATTTTTAGAACTTTATGGGTGCAAGCTCCCCTTCTGGGAGCCACTAAAGGGATCTTTTTCTGCTGCCTCCATTAATGTCTTATTTTTTTGGCTTAACAGTTTAAAAGCTTGCCTACCAAGTCTCCCTGATCAGATCAAATTAATGTTGTGCCAATAAGTGTGACATTCTCACACTTAAGGCACAAAGCGGGGATTGGGGGAACTTAGCCCAGAGAAGGAAATATTAAAAGGGCAGAAAATATATTTTTCCTCAAAAGGATTTTTTAAAACCAAACCTGGCCCCAAAATCTATCTCTCTGCCCCAAGCAAGAGCTAGCCCCATACAAATGCAGATGTAAAACCATCAGAAAGTTGAAGCCAGAGCACTCAAGAAGACAAAGAGAAAATCTGCATGCCCCACCCAAACTCTAGGAGTCATTAGCCCCATCACCTGGGAAGCAGGATATGATAATAGGATTAAACCACAGATATCAAGACCTAGAAAAACACTCCAAAATAGCCTCAAGGTTCATGCCACAGGAACAGGAAACTATTCCAAACAAGGCTTAGAGAGGGTATAAAAACCTACTACTCATGTGCTCAATTCCTCTTTCCTCTCCTCTGCTCTTTCTTGCAAGGACCATCTTTTTGCTTCTTCAATAAACTGTAACCCTCTTCCCAAAGCAGTCGCTATGTTGCTTATTTATCCCCGGCTTGGATGAACCAGGAAGACTTACTTCTGACAACTGTTTGTGAACTTCAAATGTCCGGG